TCAATAAATAATTTAAATATTTCCATATTGATAATTATAGAACACGACTGAATCAGATAAGTATTTTCGGCAAATTCTCACCAGCCTTCACTTCACCATGATGAAATATTAGTCATAGGCATTTGAATTAATGTGGTTAATAAAATATAGGATGAGAGATGTGAATCAATGGACAACAATCGAGGTATTGGTTTTGTAGGGATTTGTTTGGTTGATCTAACTGATGTCAGCTCATGGTGAAGTCCTCCATACAATCAGACAATCGAGGTGATCAGAATAATGATAATAACAAGGATGATATCATTCAAGTGTTCATATAATCTAGGCAATGGTGAGTATGTAGTTATAATCAGAATACTAGTGGGGGTAGAAGGGAAATTAACTATTGTCACTTGGTGATTAGATATAAATAGTAATAAATAATTTTTCCTTCACGTTCCCAATGGAACATAGGGCTTCAAGCTAGTGGCTTGAAGTTTCTGTAACAGTGTTTATTTTTGCAGAATGGGGTTTCTAGCCTCATGCACGGCGATTAGATAATATAATAACAATAAATTGTGAAACCAAGATTAAAATGTACTACTACAACACAGTATTATGTTGATAATACAGTTAGCATTACAAATAAAAATAATAAGATGATACTTACAGTTATCCAGTACCACCGGGGAGATAACTATTTCAGGTTGGAGGTGAGGGCCAAGGGAAGGAGACAGACTGACTAAGCTTTTTCCGAATAAAGAGACTCGGTTCAAAAATCGCTATGGTGACTGCCTCAACCGAAGTAGTGACAAGCTAGAAAGTTTAGGTGACACTTTGTACAGAATTGTAAAAGCTGAATTTTTGTCAGTCTTGCGCTACATATCCACTAGGTGTGTCAGTATGGAGGCTCGACTCTACGAGTCCTCTGACTAACCACGTTGGGCAATGCTTCAGAAGGCGAACATGAGCTTGATGAGTCGTTCAACCTATCTAATGTCTCCACACGAACAGTTAAATTTATAAATGCACACTGAACTGGCCAGACTCGGTAGCTTAACCTTCACCTACGTTGGAATTCGTCAATAAGTGGCAGATTTTAAACACAATGTTGTGGCAGAGAATCTCTTAGGTATTATTTTTTGAGGTTTTTTTGAAGTCTCCTTTAAACAGCAATTACGAATGTAAATATATGTTTACTCTACAACATTTGCAGGCATTTCTTTCCATCTTTTCTCCTGGTGGTCAACAAATAGTTTACTTGACCAAAATTTAAATCAAACAATTTTACAGTGAAAATATGTTTGAAATGTCCTGTATTACTCTCTTTATTGCGATACTCAGCCACAATACAATATCACAAATACTAAAGGACGACTTTTATGTGTGATTACTTTGGTAAACCTAAACACTGAAGGTTTCAGTCTCTCCTTATGTCTGACAAATAAGCTTCAAACGTCCCAATGTACTAAACGTACGTGGATTGAACTTCTTTTAACGGTTTACTTTAAAGGGGTCCTCTATTATGGGTAGAGGAAATTCACTTATGTTCACTCGAAATTCTTAAGAATATTTACCAGCTACAAAACTAATTATAAAATCATGAGGTAATCAAAACTTAAGTTAGCATGAAATTTCTGATGAACCACAAAAGAACTTCCAGTTAGTGTGGATATTTAAAGTGATACGTTTTCTATCATATCTTTGCACAAGTGATGCCATAAACTAGACACCGTAACTTGTAATGGCGTCAATCCTAGTATCAATAGCTGAGTACAACCTGTATACAATAATTTCAATAAGCTATTAAGAGGACAAATATTGTGGAATGATAACATTCCGTAGTTGCTTTACGATGATCGCTTTACAACTAGCGTTGCTCATCACTCCAACAAATATTTAGACTTCAAGTCGTCATACCCCATCATCGCAAAGGTATCAGTTCTTTCAGGTATTCTTAGACGAGCACACTCTTAGATGTGAAGGGATGAGGAAGAAAAAGAAGAAGGAATATCAAACATTTCTGAGACTCTCAAGCAAAATAACTACCCAAAGAACTTCATCAACAAAATCAACACTGATATTAAATATGATCAAAAACATTCTCCAAAGACATGGACCTAACCAGATAGTCATTCCATTTAGATCAGAAATATCAGACGATATCAGAAGAGTACTCAATAAGCACGACATCAGAGGTTTCTTCATAACATCAGATACACTGCAAAGCAACCTTGTCCATATAAAGGACTGAATCCCTAAAGATTCTCTATCAACTTGTGTCTACAAAATGAAATGTTGGGAATGTAATGAGATATACATCGAACAAACATCACCAGAGAGAAATCAAAATCAGAAGAAATAAACACCGTAGAGCATCTGTTCGACCACTGAGAAATCCAGCTGAACTAGAAAAGCTTGAAAAATCACCAGCTATAGGTCTACATGCCATAAAATCAGGCCACAAAAATGATTTTGACAATATTGAAACCATCATCCAGAAAAAATTCAAAAATCACAAAGAACGTCTAATATCAGAAGCACTTCATATCAAATGGAATCCAAATTGTTTGAATAGTAATGATGAACTAAAACAGAATTTGACCTGGTTACAACATCCCCCACCATGAAACGACAGAATCAGCACGAATTTCATAAGCAGTTTCATTATGTAAACAGAATCTCCTTTTATTGTTTTATGCACCTATCAAATCTAACAATCTACACCTGATTTTGTTATCTTTACCAATAGGTCAACTTGAAAACAACGTGAAAATTACCCCATACTGATGAACAATGATTAAGTTGTTATATATATAAGCTGAGATTCTGGTTTAATAATAATTTGATAAAACCATTAGAGGCATTAATTAGCGCAGCGTCAGTAAAGACAAATCGTTTTGTTTTTCATTTATTGGGAAATACAACAACTTTTATAATAACCTGGTTCATAATAATAAAACAAAATGTCTGACACTTAGTCAAAATAAACAGAATGTTCCAATGTCATCATAAAGAAAACAATGTTGAGTAGTTATTATGTCACACAAAAACTCCAAATGTACTTAATCTGAATAGAAACCCAGCATCCTTCATTTGAAATCATTTAATACCTGACCAAAAAATCAGTATTAATGACTTCTTCTCAACTGCTTCATCTAAATTTAATTGTTCCACTAAGAACACAAGGGAACAATAATACAATAATAATAAAATTTAATTCAAGATTATTAAAGGTGATGAAAACTCTTTGGATTAATCCCACCAACAGTTGGTGTGAATATGAGCATTATTTTGCTGGAAATATTACCAATAACAAAACTTATCATTGTGTGTAAACCATTGAAATATAATTATACTTTATTTGATCTATTCCACAATGCTCAAACTTTTTACTGACATTAAGATGATATATGTTTGAGACTTCCCACAGGATGTGAATTTTTCACAAAAAGGTGGGTCGAAGGTTCCCTTACTCAGTGAGTTTAACTGTCATACATTCTAGAGATAGCAGAAACCAATAAAAATAGGCATTATAAACCATTTAATTATCCGTAAATTCTGTTCTTGTTTCAAAGCTTTCATGTCTGGTTTCTAAAAGTTACATTTTACAGAAAAATATTTACGTAATTATATGACTGAAAATTTCCTCTTCGGATATGTAGGAAAATAAAACACCAGATTGAGAAATGAGACTCGTTTCGATGAATTCATTTATCATCAAGCTGTACAGTCGTATATATATAGTTTTTTTAATAAGTTATATCCGGTGAGGGAATTGCATCTTGGGTGTGAATGCATAAAATAATAATAATAATCATATGAACATGTACCTGTATGGTTGAGTAAAGGAATAACCAAAGGCATAAATAGTGCAGTCTTAGCCCACTTGGTAGATACTGGACACCCGATAAAACTTGACCAAGCGTTCTCAGTTATTTACCGCGTTCCTAGTAATTTATCTAGAGGAGCTCGACTACGTCTTCTATCAGTAGCTGAAGCAGTTGCAATTAATACCAGAAGACCATCCCTCTGCATACAGAAGAAGTATGTTCAACCTCTATGTTTACCTTGGCCTACAATAAAGCCAGCAAATCCTCCATTAACACTATAAATTTCTTTCGCGATTTTCTTTTCTTTTCCTTCTTCTATTCCTCTGTTTCATTGACAAACGTTCATTTTCGACTTTTATGATTTCATGACCTTTCTTATGATTTTATTACCTTAGGTTTAAATAGTGCTTTTCTAACTTGCTATCGTATTTACAAAATCCTGTTCATTCCACTTCATTATATTCATTATTATTATTTGACAATCATTCACCAATAGTACATTTAATTTTAATTTTACACCATATCATCGTTATTATTTTACAATCATTCTTATTGTTGTTATTTTCAACCTTGAACTTAAGTCTAGACCGCCCCATTCGTTGGTTTATTTTCATATTGCCTCACACACCCTGATTACACTCACTCTTGAAACCTGTATTTTCTGTTAACTATATTTACATATATATATATACACATCATTAAATTAAATTATTTCATCTCATTCTGTCCCATGTTGTTATTGACCATGCATATTAAAAAACTACATGACTATATGACTATTGTTCCATCCCATTTTATACTTGTTCCACAATACACTTTCTGATATGATTCTAATTCGCCTTTACTGGCTATTGTATGCTTACATTAATGGATTTATAATTGTAGAGCCTGAAGAAGAATTTATTGAAAACAATTGTTCGCTCTAAATATATTGTTCTAAAACTAAAATGTTTGTGACTATAATCGTAGTTAAATGTCAAGTGGCAAAGCAGATTAATGTCATATATAGAATAATTCATAGGAGGGATAGAACTTGAAAAAGGATGTGCAATTATAGGATTAGTAGACAAATCGAATAAAACAAAAACGTTACGTAATATTGTGTGAAATTTAATAGCATAGAATTTATCGTTGTAAAAAAGAATTGATTTAGAATGAAAAGTGGAACAAGTGAAATAATACCGGGGACAGTTCAAAGTGAGAATAATAATAATAACAATTGACTTAATAAGGAAGAGTATACAAATTGAATAGACAAAATGAAAAATTGGTAGAGCTAAAATATGATTGGGGATTACCATATTTTAGCATAGAGGGATTAAGACCATGAAAGTTGGAGGGGTTGAACGAACTTTTTCTGTACACAGAGATCTGGCTTTTCTGTTTCGATAGCCAAAGCTTCAGCAATACAGATGAGTCGGGTACGTAGGGATTTGGGTAGATTGCTCTTTGCCTTGTAGATGACTTTAAAGGCGGAGGCTATAGAGATAGGGTGATCATTTTCGACCAGATGTTCTATGATCGCGCTTCTTATTGCTCCACTTCCACCTTTTCGTAGCCATGCAGGATAATGTTCTTGCACCCTCTTGGACAAAACTCGAGTCGAACGACCGATATACCTAGCTCCACAAGAGCAGGTGAATTGATAAACGCACATAGAGTTGGTCAACATTGGGATCTTGTCCTTCAGGTTATTGAACAATAATGGTCGGCTAGTAAAAGCTATTCTCAGAGAGGCAGCAGGGAATGTTCTTTTCAGGGACTGTGATATCCTTCGTTTCATGATATCGGAAGCTAAGTCCCCTTTGAATTCTAAGCTCATGTAAAGTATTTTCTTGGGAGCGGTTGATAAGTCACGTTTTGTAGGCTTTGAATGTATATTCTTATCTATAAAACGTGGTGGAAATCCATTTTCCATTAGGATTTTCCTCAAAGTGTATAACTCATCTTCCACAGTATCAGTGCTACATATGCGCCGAATACGAGTGGCAAGCGACCGGACCAGGTTTCGTTTTCGACCAATAGGTACCCAGCTATAGAAATTTGTCAGTTGACCATTCCATAACAGCTTACGATAAATCGATCTCTTCAGAGTTCCATCGGTCCTTCTTGATAAGTTCACATCGAGGAAATGAATGCTAGACTCGTTCTCCATTTCGAGTGTGAATTTTATCGCAGGATGGCACTCATTAAATACACTTAATATATTATTCAGGTTACAATCAATATTACAAATAATAAAGGTGTCATCTACATACCTTTTATATATTTGAAAGCTTTGGATCATAGGCTTCAGGGAACCATTTTCTAGACTGGACATAAAAACGTCTGCAAGGAGAGGACCCAAGGGAGAACCCATCGCAATACCATCCTTCTGCCTGTAGATTGTTTCATTGAAAGTAAACTGTACATTCAATGTACATCTCAAAAGTAGTTCTTTAAGATCTGTAGTGGGTATCCCTATATTCAATTTGTTGTCTTCAATATATTTGCATATAAAACATACGGTCTCTGTCAGTGGAACGTTCGTAAATAAGGATTCTACATCCAAAGACAACATTTGTTTATTCGACGCATTTATATCCTGTATACATTCAACAAATTGGAAGGTGTCCCGAAGGGAATGATTAGATAGTTACCCTCTGACTGGTTCGAGGATTTCAGCTAACCACCCAGCTACTGGATGATAGGGCGATCCAGACATATCCAAGATAGGGCGAAGTGGAACTCCAGCTTTGTGTATTTTCGGTAGACCATACAGTCTTGGTATTAGAGATCCTGTTGGTCTGATCTTTTCGTATAATTCTTCACGAATGAGATTATTGTTCTTCATTCTCTTTAAAGTATCGGTAAGTTGTTTCTCAATTAATTCCGTCTTGTTTTTCTCGTTCGGTTTCGAGAATTTACTGCTGTCTGAAAGTAGACATGACATTTTATCGATATAATCTTTGCGATCCATAATAACAACACCTGTACCCTTGTCAGGGCGTGTTAATAGTATATCGCTGTTATGCATCAAAAGTTTAAGTTCTTCTTTGTGCTGTTTAGTAAGAAGACTTTGCATTTTTGGTCTAGCATTAAGGTATTGATTGCAGGAGTTCGTAATGGTAGATTTGAAGCATTGGAAATCCTGGTCTGACGATGGTGTGAGATCATAGGTTTGACTGAGTGAATTCTCAAACTGGACATGAGTATGTAGCTTGTTGATATTGAGATTAACATCGCAAAACTTCGAGCCCATAGACAAGGCCTCCATTTGTATTTTCGATAAAGATATAGAGGAGTGGTTGAACACGTACCTCTCAGAATTCTCAGGAAATTTTCGAAGACATTCGATAGGTTTTAGGCTATCAGATAGCTTTGAATTAAAAGACATAGTTTGTTTGTTGGTGACCACATTGACATCACAAAGATCTTCTGCTCTATATGACTTATCGGTTGATGAACGTCAGACGTTTAATGATTATGTCAATTATTATGTTAACTGAAGGTCGTGAGTTCGGGTCTCACCTGGGGCATGATTTTAGTGCATTTGTGGCACAGTGGTTAGGACTCTTGCCGACCATGCACATGGTCCAGGATTCGATCCCCTGCCGAAGCACACCTGATATCTATGTTCGGCCTGCAAAATTTGGGCTACCTATATCACATGCTAAAAATTCCATACTTGTACCAAAACATACGGTGTGAAATCAAGCTGCAATCGAAAAAAAATTACACAAGCGAAAGAAATATTTTGTTTTTATTTGTTATTTTAACGACTTGTCACAAATAGATTCGGACCATGGAAGAAAAAGTGGTTGAATAAGCTTCCTATGAGTGAATAGCTCTGGCTTTTCTATTCTGATGACTGAAGCTTCAGAAGCACATATGAGCTGGATAAGTAATGATATTGGCAGGCTAAATTTATGCTTAGAGATGGCTTTAAGGGAATATACTTTGAAAATAAGATAACCAATGTTGTCCAGAAGTTCAGCTACTGCACTTCCTATAGGTCCATTTCCACTTCTTCACAAGGTAGTTTTATTGTATTTTTTGGACAATATATTTAGCTCAAAGGTAGTTGGTGAACTGGTAAACATGTAATAAGTTGGCCAACCATGGATCTTGTGCTTTAGGTTATTGAAAAGGTAAAGATCAACTTGAAAACAATACTTTCGAAGACACCGTAACAAATGACGTTTTCAGGTGCTGTGAGTTCTTTCTTTTGAGGATACTATCATTTAGGTGAGTTAAGAACCCAAAAATTAATGCATGACATTTTTGACTACAGGCAACAAATAACAGTTCCTAGATTCTGGCTGTTGGAAGCTGACCCTTTGAAGAGGTGAAAGGAGAGCTGTAGGAAGCTTAGTAATTAAACATCTGGCTGATACTGGTCATCTTATCTTCTAAAAGCCATTCCCTTAAAGTTATCTCATATCATTCAATTCCTAATCTACACTATTCGTCTTTGCCAAACCTCCATTGTATTCTGACTAATACTCATCAGTCATAACAGATTTGTATTTATCCTACTAATCAGTATGTATTTAACATATAAGAACTATTAGACAGATCCATGACGAAAAGTGTATATAATTGCTGTTGAACAGCTGTTATAAATGAAGTCGCCAAAGAGAGTCACTTCACTGAACCAGGTGTCCTCTTTTGATTACTTCACTTTTATCCTGTAACAATAATATGATTTGATGAAAACGTTTTATGGCACCAGACCTCTCCTTCTATTTTATCATGTCTGACGAGAAATTCATGTCCAAAAAGGGCAGAAATCTGTAATACAGCAAACTAAATTGTGTCGTAAAAAAGAAAACAAAACTCTAACATATGTACTCGCAATACATCTGCCAGAATATTTACCATTATACTGTAAGTTAAAATATGTGGAATTATATTATTCTAAAAAAGCATAAAACTACTATACATTAAGTAGTAAACTTGAATCCATGGAAAGAATTAAGAAGAATTCCTGAGGCGAAAATCCTAGTAGAATAAGCTGTTATTTTGTCTTCTAAATGTCTGAACAGCAATTTTCTCTATAACGGTATTTTTGTTACTGTATTTCTTTTAGGCTTTTCAGTTGATTATATGAAATACTGAGATATTCAGTGTTCTCACTTGATTCCCATGATAAATGAAATCAAGCCTCTCATAGCCTGAAGTTCTCAACCAATGAGTTCAACTTTTTAACGTGGTTCGAGTTTTATATGAATGCGACTCATATTATTTGAACTCTGCCATAATTTCTTTTATCTAGATGAAGTACTTTGAATGGAATATGTCATACATGTTATGCGTAGCTTCAGGCTTTGAAATTCTGATCTGTAACTTTGTTTGAATTTTATCCGTCCCCCCTGTTTAATATGGCATTTTAATTCCTAATTGTAATTTTATTAATTTGACCCTTGACCGGAAATTATTTTGTAACTTTCTCACCAATTTATTATAAATACACGAATGTACAACCTAGATGATGACTTCTTTAAAAAGGAAATTTTCTTCCCAATGATCTGCACCCATGAAAACTGCGATATTAATCGCAATTGTACAACCTTAGCTAATTACAGAATAGTAGCTTTCACATAAAAACGGTCATTACTATTGTCTTTTTATTGAAGTAGTAGAATCAAGTAGTAAAATCTAAAAGGGTAACTGATTTTGTTAAATTAGTTGCTACTTTATGCGGAAAGGAAACTGAGTAAAATTTGAAGTAAAGCTCTCCTCTTGTTGGTGTGGTTGAGTTCTCTAAGCTGGCTGATTTAATTGTTGGGCTTTCATTGTCCTTCGCGAGAAACTTTTCAGCCCAAGCCTTACTGTGAAGTGAGCCTATTCGAATTCTGCATGAACGATACAGTTATGTCACGAAGGACCACGGAAACTCCGCAGTTAAATAAACTACCTCAGAGATAGCAATCACATCAAAATAATCCGCCTGAGATACTAAGCTTCTCTATTATTTCAAAACTTGACTGTTCCGACTAAACATTATTCTCTTACCATCATAAGATGTAATTTCAAGATAAATACATATTCAAAATTCTGTTGTCTTCTGTATCTTATCAACAGAGAAAGTGGTTGACAGCATTTGCGTATATATGTGCTTTAAATGACCTTGGGGGGCACTGATTACAGTGACAAATTAAAACAGTCAAGAACCAATAGGATTCCAAGTTTGTAGGTGGGGTGTGAGAAACACAACCAGCAATGTAGGGTAAATGTAGTATTTTAGGAGAATTGTGTCTATTTAACAATACCTATTGCAAATTCATTTACCATTTTCACTAACTTACACCTCAATCAGGTGCCCAAGTATCTGTTGTTTCTTTGATTTCTCGGCTCACTTCTAGTGTAACATAATTTGATCATAGCTCTTAATTAAGCGAAGTACAAATAATCAGTAAGTATTTATTATTATTCTGAGAAACAAATCTATGCAACTCTTATTTAAGCACACCTCTTTGGGCGGAAATATGTAACATTACTCAACTCATAAATGAGGCATATAGTTTCAACGTCATGTTTCGTGGTTTTCTTCAGAATAATCTATTTTACACTGAAACAGTCGTTTGTATCATACATAAAATGTCATTTGAGAATTTTGCTAAGTTCAGACCTCAGAAGATTTTCCCAGTCGTGTCTTTTCTAAAATTGTTTTAATATTCTCGTAAGATTAGGAAATTCAGAAAAGAGAAAGATTGAGCGAAGAAATATTTACTTTTCAATTAGATCCTCATCTCTGGCTCTACTCTAATGTATATAGCATTTTTATTACAATACACAACAATTTACTAATCAAGTGGCGATCAGGGAATGTTTGGTGCTTCTGATTGTAATATGATGTTGATACGTATGGAGTAAAATATTTAATCTGTTTGATGTTACCTGCTTGGCAGTGGCTTGCAGTGAATATAAAGGAATCGAGTTCATCTCTTTTAGGCCTCATCAAATTGTTACACCTCCTGTGTTGTTTAAAACGACAGGAGCTAGATTCGAATATCGTTATATATATATATATACAGAGGACTGCTTTATTTATTCGGTAACCTAATCTTCCATAGAACGCAATGCGTCAGATTTACTCGGTTATAATCTGTTTTAATTACTTATATACCTTCTTGAAAAACAATCTGTACTCACACGCATTTTTGAATGACATTTAGTATACTAATTGATACGTTTTGAAGGGAAGTATACGTTGGGGGATTGGAACATGTTTTCGAGAGACCGAAATTCCGTCGAATGGTGTACTGTATTATTTTTCTTGGACATTGTGTATAAGGAGTAT